TCTATATTGGTAATCAAACTTGCTAAGTAGCCTTTGCTTTGTTTCCCAATATCCCCTATTTCCAAATATCATAGTGTTGATAGAAATATTGATTTTCATATGCTATTTTTTTTTTTAATTGTTCAACACTTTCACATTAATTTTAATTTAGACATTTTTATATTAAAATTAAACTTCAAAACATGACAAAACATCCCAAACAATTAAAGAGAAACTATCCCTCCTTCCGTCGTGTTTCTTTGTTGACTTCCCTATATCAATGTTGAACCCCCAGGCCAAATATCAGCGTCGCAGTACCACAGTGTTTAGTTTGAAGGTTATTTAAGTATTGAACTAGCACGCCTCATTGACATGACTACGAATGTCAACTGAAGGTCGTTCAATACTTACATTAAACATTTCAAAAGATATTTCAATCTCCAACCATTAATTGGTCAAGATTCCACATTTATTACAAATAGGCGTATTATCGGATATGCTTGTGTACAGAGTACAGCAGCTGTCTTCAAGGGAACATAAAGAAATGATTAGATTTTTTTTATAAAATGTTTCAAATTTGGTCTTTTCTGAAAATTCCTAATGAAGCAATTAAAAGTTGCATCGTTATATGTGATTAAAGAAGATTTATTTCTAAAAAGTATAAGTAAACATTAAAATACATAAGAAAAATGTAAAAAAATTATGAAGAAAAATGGTAGGTGTATTTCTTATAAGTTTGGAAAATAAATTGCATGCCATACAAAATCATGATAACTTTGCGCAAACAACTTGTAGATAGAGCTGTAGTCCTTTAACAATGATTTTTATCGATATCGATTTTTTTTTCATACTTTATTGCATGTTTATTGTACACCCTCAGGACCGTGTATGTTATAAGATGTATATATTTACACAAATCAATATCCCATATACATGTAATACTTTCACACACTCTATTTTTACTCTTTCCAAATTTTTATACGTTAAATCAAGCCTTGTTTTGGCACATTTTCTCATACAAAGATACGTATTTGTAAACCTATAACCATTTGGATGTATTTGGTAACAAGAAGGTAGATTGTATTCTAGTTGAGAGTTCCGAATGTGTGAGAGTATATAGAACTATGTGATAATGTTTCCACTTAAATTTGAGTGTCTTTTAAAATAAAAACAGACCGCTTTATAGGATTATAAGGACATGTTATTGTGGAGAATCAAACTGATATCACGACGATATTTAATACAGCGTAGTACATTCATGTATTCACCTGTACATGGAACTTAACGCTTCAAATATTGATTTACAATACGTCTGTCATGACCCGAACAACTCTGGAATGAAAAAAAGGGGCGAAACAAAACACACTCAAAAAACTTTCAGTCAAAACAATACTTAATTCGTTGATCAGATTAATGATCTTTGTCGGTTAAACAATCTAATGACTTGTGTCTGTCCGATTACGGAGGTCATTAAACACAATTAAGGTCACAGTCTCTACAATTTGATTCGATATTTGAGGATGTTTTATACCTCATACATCGGTTTATCATTGTGAACTTATATCTACACACTAGATATTGTTGTACCACGAGGTTCCTCATGTTACAGTCCCAAGACTGGGACGGTACCGTCGCGACAATCGATCCACACGTGTCCACACCCACTCTTTCAGGGGTAACCAATCCGTGTCTCTGGTAAAGGACATACACCTGGTTGTTCCTCTAGTCTCGTACTTGTCACATGATGTATTATGGCTACTCCTACTACGAACCTTTTGACGATTGTTGAGTTCACCAGTCGATTTATATTTAGTTGTACTTGAACTGTGTGCTATGATTGATATATTATATCATGCCGACATTGCAACCTCTCATGACAATAAACATGCAGCAAAATACACATTTGTTTTAAACGAAAAGTTCAAATAGGTATCATTCATTTATATTGTTAAAGTAAAATGCCTCATCAAACAAAAGAAAATTGCTCCATTTTGGCTATTCTCACACAACTTAAACAAATGGACCTTTTACAAACAAGTATGCCATTGACTAACCGGTTATTCGGTCAATTTTGTTATCAAACAATAAACAACGACAATACGTTATATGTTTAACAAGTGTTCTATTTAAAACGTATTTACACCACATCGTACATTTATATATTAAATATCATGATAATTTAATCGCGTATTTAAGCTAAACCCAGGAAATAATTACATGTAATCACATTTAGTATATTTCATGGACAACAAATGTCGGGATACAGTAAGGCGGGATTCAATTAGTTATCAGTACTATAAATCATATGTGGTAATATCGTTCTTTTCTACAAAGTTTGATCGACAAACATTTTAATACATGCTTGCTCATTCAAGTGTGAACTCGTCATATTATATTTATATCTCGCATCTAAAAGTGCGTGCTACATGTACCTTTAAAGTTTATATTTCACAACTGTGTATTCTGGCTTCCTTTTAAAATCTGTCCGGTTTTCCTTTGGCGCTGGCGTGATTTCTTTGTTAATCTTTACAATAAAGTGAAAGTGAAAAAAAACCCACTTACAAGTCAGAAAATTTGTAGGTCCAAGCTGAATATGGGGCTCCCCAAAGGGGTAAATAAATGTCCGACTATTCGGTTATTGATTATTGTAACCAGTTCGTGGTCTTCCAACCAAGTAACCGGCTAACCGTTGGCAACCCTTTCCAAATTACAATGTCATTTTCGTCCATATGTCTGTATGCATGTCTGTAATGTTTGTTTTGCGAAAGACAGCCTTGATATGTGATTAAGTACGGCTTTGCTTTATGGTTTCTTCATAAACATGGATTTTCCCTTGTAATTATATACACAAATTCGTTATTTTTTTTCAGATATTCTAGTATATCATGGGAGTCTTAATTACACAAAAACCTTTTCATGAACACATCAATAATAAGATTCATTTCTCGTAGAGAGCTTTAGAGCATCGACTTGATTTTAACAATTTTACTGTTACAAATTATATAGCAAAGACTGAACAATTATAGTAACCTCAAAAACCCTCTCTTATTCTAGATACACAACGGGGTTTGATACCCGTCATTTAGAAATAATTAAAAAAATAACACGAAGTCGAGTTGATGTTTGAAAGAATTTGAAAGCGAAGAGTGAAGGCTGAGTGAAGTGTTGTCCAAAAATATTAAAGTTTGCCCTAATCTAAAAATTACGCAACACGAATTGTCTCACGGCTTTGGGTGTTAATATATGTAGAAAGGATAGAACATCGTAGAACGATCGTGCGTTCTATAACACTTAAACGGAACAAAAGACAATAACATTTGCTTTGAAATTCACTTAAACTAAGAGAATTTTCGATTCCCCACATCATTGCTCCCACTCCCCCCGACCCTTCCATCAAATATTTAACCAGCTTAGGATAGAAGATGGCGCATTGATACACATGTGAGATATTTAGTGGATTTCACAAAAAGAAGTAGGAAGCATTATGTTTTGAATAAATAGGACAGGAAAGGAAAATAAGATAAAATTGAAATAAAATCATGAAAAATGAACACTGATATACGAACTGAACATTAAGAAATACCTTTATATATAGTACAGATGAAGCAAGCCGATTGATGTTATAGCTTCGAGTTACTTCCCTGTCTACGTAGGAATCTCTTATTTTATAGCTTCGAGTTACTTTCCTGTCTACGTAGGAATCTCTTATTTTATAGCTTCGATTTACTTACCTGTCTACGTAGGAATCTCTTATTTTCATAGACTTTTCGTCCCATAACTTGGACTCCAATTTCGGTGCCATTATCTTGGATGGAAGTATTAGCGTAGTGGAATATTTCATTTAAAAGCAAATATTTACATCAGTAACAGTGGTAATAATGGAATTTAACTAATTGCTACCCTCAAATAAATAACAAACAATACAAAGACACAGCAGTAATACAAATAAACAGACTTTATTTAGAGTTTCAACTTTAATTGTGTTTTCTACATGAATAGAAAATAAGAAATAATGTACAAATATAATACCATTTAATAGTATGTAATTAGATGTTTGTATTATTTGGAAACGAACTTTTCGAGTTACAAAACTTAATGGAGATAATTTCATGCAGCACACTCTTAAATATTGATAGTGTTTTTCTGTCTGATTCTTTCTCTCTCTCTCCCTTCTCTTTAACTACCTCTTCATGTGTGCATATGATTAATTACGTGGCGCAAAAATGTCTTCAAGAAAGATTTCATCATTGTACAAATTGAAATAATATTTTAACTTTATTGTATTGAATCTTTACCTTAACATGACATGAAATATTTCAAAATAAATTCTTGAAAACTAAGTAAATAAATAAAACGAAACCTTCAGTGCAGCTCACTAGTTAATTCGTCGATCAGTCCCATGGTCAGGCATTGTCGGTTCAAAAACCTTCTGACTTTAAAATGTTTTTCACAGATATCATTAACACCAATTGATCAATTGTTCGAATGTCTTTACAAAATGAATCGATATTTTAGATATTTGTCAGACATTGATGATTGTTTGTGATGATATTTACAAAATGTAGTATTGTACCACGAGGTAAAGTGTTCATCATGTACTCTTTCTTCGTGTTACAGTCTCATGACGTGTACAGTACCGTGGCCACACCCGATCCACACGTTCCCATACGTGTCCACACCCACCGCTGTAGGTCCGATCACGCCATGTTTCTGGTCCAGGAGACATGTGGCCTGTGAACCATCTGTCGGTAAGACATACACCTGGCTGTTAATGTAGTCCGGTACAAACAGTCGGTGGCACTTGTCACGTGACATCTTAAAGAGGTCCCTACTACCAACCTTTTGACCGTTGTTGAGTGCACCAGTCCATTTATATCTGGTTGTACCAGATCTGTCTGTTATGATCGATACATTTGTATAGTCCGACACTGCAATGTCTCCTGACGACAAACATGTAATAAACCGCCCATCCATTCCACACGTCACCTTCCTCACAATTGTTCCTGACTGATTCAGTACTATTATGTCCGGTGTAGTTGAACTAACAACACCTCTTCCCTCTTGTTGATACTGATGTCACATAGGTTATGTGATCTGATGTCAGCAAATGTTGTCACTTGTTTGTTGTGTAGTGATAGTTTATATACAAATGTACTACGTGGATTACTGGTCATAAGTATGTCTGTTGTCCCGACCATGGTGATTCTGTACGGATAGAAGTCCAGTTTTACTGTCTCTGTGACCACACCATCCCTGTTGACCAGTATCAGTCCCTGGTATTGGTCTATTGATAACCACGCGTGACTGTCGTCGACTGGACATATATCCAATATTTGATTTCGTTGAGTAACAGTAAACGTAGAGAGACGCTGAACGTGTTTATTGTCGATGTCTGTCTTCTCGTACTGGTTCTCGTGGTGTAATTCACCTAACATTTTCGTCAACAGGACGCGGTCGATACTTCCGGTAACAAAGCTTGGTTGTTTTGGTGAAACATGTTTCATCCTAACTTCATACAGGAGCAGAGTTTTCCTCAATGACATTTCCGTTTCAAATATGGATACACCAGATGTATCCGTCACTGTAGCCTTTTCATGCAGACGCGTCAGCTCTTCGACATTTTTATCCAATCGCTGAATATCTTTCTTGTGCAGCATCGATTCTTCTTTTTCTAAAGATGATAACTCGGCCAGGACTGTATTCGCGATAGAATCTATTTCTGCCTTTAGTTTAGTCCTCTGTGAGTTTACCTCTTTTCTGGTTGTATCAATGTTGTCTTTGAACGTTTTGTTCACGCAATGTCTCACTGACGTCTTGTTCTTGAAATTTGCTATTTTATCAGCTATCATTGTCATTTGTTCCTTAAAATGTTCCTTTTTGACAGACAGTTCGTCTTCAAAAAGTTTCCAGTTGTGCTGTTTATGATTTTTAGATAGACATATCGAACAAATCAACTCGTTGCAGTCCGAACAGAACATATCACACAGTTTACCAGGATGTAGTTTACATACCTCTGGTACAGGCTTGTCGCCCTGACGGTTAGCCTTCCCTATCAATACTACCTCGTCGTTTTTAGTCTTCTTTCCGCGTTCATGGAATCCCTTACACCGGTCACATAAATTCTCCTGACAGTCGTTACAATACCATCTTACCCCGTCTTCACTGTCACACAAAGCACACGTGTAGGTAACGGGTTCCTGGGCACGCCGTACGGATCTGTTACTTGCCATGGTGTTGGTACTTTCACGGAATACGTAAAAACTTTGCAAAAAAACTGAGAAATGCCACCATTTGTTATATCGGTACAACGTTATCTATACACTTCCTTGTTACGTGTATATCACGTGATTTTACGAATAGACGGTATAAAGTCCCGCACTCCTGGCGCTAGGCCAAAAATAATCTACCTAAATGGCAGATCTTGCTATCATACGTAACCATCATAACATGTACTTTGTACATTTGTGTTATCTTGCACTTTTTAGTTGTGATTTGTACTTGCGTTGGGTCCTCTCGACCAAACATTAGAACTATAGAAACAGAATGGCAAGTATAGAATATGTGATGAAGTCAGATATTTTCCTGTTATTGTCCATTACTGTGTTTGATAAAAGACAGGTTATATAAATAAATATAAGCACCAGAAGGAAACATCTACAACTTAATTCAGTCTTAGGAGGACGAAAAAGCTGTATGATGCACTGTAAGATTATGTTTTGCATACTTTATCTATTACTTGATTTTAAAGGTGCATCACATTTATTTGTGTTGTGTCATCGCTTTACCAAATACATGGACATTAGATATAACGAGTTGGTCGCCGCCAAAACCAGCCTAGTATGGTGTGACCCATAGCAGTGTAGCCTATGTGAATACATAAACATATGTAACGAACCCTTGTATAATGTGACCAATCGCACTGCAGCCTATGTGAATTACACACATACATAAAGAACCCCTGTATGCTGTGACCAATAGCAGTGAAGCCTATGTGGATTTCAGACATATCTAAATAACCATTGTATGCTGAGAGCGATAGCAGTGTAGCCTTTGTGAATTGCAGACATATGTGGCGAACCCCGGTATGCTGTGATCCATAGCCTATGTGAATTATTGAAATACGTAAATATCACCTGTATGTTGTGACCCATGCAGTGTAGCCTATGTGATCTACAGACATATGTGACGAACCCTTGTATGTTGTGACCCATATCAGTATAGTCTATGCGAATTACAGACATACGTAACGAATCCCTTTATGGTTAGACCCATAGCAGTGTAGCCTATGTGAACTACAAACATATGTAACGAATCTTTGTACCCAATACAATGATACGGGTGCTTGTTGATATTCACTATCTACCCAGCTTGTCACTAAAGACCCATGATATCACACAATTGTGATGAATTGTGTTCATCTACTTAGTTTCAGATAGATACAATACTACTGCATTATTATATATCCTATATACCCCTGTTTGTAACAAAATCATATATATATATATATATATATATATATATATAGTCAATGACAAAACAAAGAACGTTTCTGGTTTTTTGAGTTTGTGAGATGTCAGTTCAATGTATTATTTGTTAAACTGTAGTGCACCTAGTCATTTGTTTTGAAACAAAAACAAAGAAATGTGTTACCTTATCTTGATATTAGTTCATGCATCCGATACTTTTTGGCATTTTTGCTCTCAATTGTTTGATTGAGAAAAACAACTATACTGAGGCCTTTTGTAAATGTTAAACTATGTGTTGGTGGATATTTCATTGATAAAAGTCCTTAATCAAAATGACTATTCGCAATTTCTCAACTTAAACATTTCAGGAAATATTATGTGATTGCAATATATTGATATAATTGCAGGAAAGTTCCCAGAGGAGGGAGCGGACCTTGCACACCCATGACCCCGACACCCCTAAAATAGAGAATCGTTACTTTAAAGTTGGCACTTGAGTGTTTTGAATTGGATTCTAAATTTTAACCCTTCTACAACATGTGTTTGTAATATATACATTGTATGTATATTTGAGTCATCGTGTAATTACTGTTCCTTGTTACTCAATCCTACTTGTGTATTTTACATTTTTAATATATATTATGTCAATTTGAAAATTATTTACGTGTTTTGTCTCTATCGACCCGTAATAGATATGACTCGAATTTATAACGAAAACTTACCGCCTCGGTAGGAGAAGCACACTCACAAAGCATTGTGGTAGCTGTGGACGCTGGCTCTGGCAGAGATGACAGGGGACTACACATATGATCCTTCCTCCAGGATGTCAGAAACGGATAGTCAGGATACTGGAGCTTTTCATAATGATATAAAACTTTATTAATACTACAATAATTAAAAAAGCAAGTAATAAAAAACATATTTAACTCTCTGTTTGGACCTGATGTTAGCGTGTGGGGGTCTCAATTTGGGAGGAAACTGGAGTACCTGGAGGAAACTGGAGTACCTGGAGAAAACCCACGTGGTTGGGCAGGTGAGTCCATACCTTTCCATGTCCGATCGCGGAATCAAAACCGGCCACTTTGGTGAAAGAAGAGTGCACCACACGGCCATCCGATGTTTGCCTGATTTAAGGAGTTAGGGTGAACGTCATACACAATTATGATATGTGATGGTTATGGTATGCACACCAAGTCCTCTGTATCAATTTTGTAAATAGGAAGGATGTCATAGTTAGTAGTTACATAGTCCTAGCTATTAACGTTATTGGTTCAGGTGACTTAATCCCAAGAGAGATGTAACGAGAAAAACGAGCAGAAAAAGTCCGAGACTCCTGGCGCTAGGCAAAAAATAATCTAAAAGACAGAGCTTGCTATCTATCGTACGTAACCATCATAACATATGTGTACATGACATACCGTGTACATGTGTGCTTAAGTTGTGGTTTGTACTTGAGTTGTGTCCCTTCGACCAATATTTAAACTATCGAAACAGAATGTTAAGTGAAGAATATTTGATGAAGTATAATATTTGCCTGTTATTGTCCATTACTGTGTTTGATACCAGACAGGTTACATAAATAGATATAAGTACCAGGAGGACACATCTACAACCTAATTTAGTCTTAGGAGGACGAAGAAGCTGTATGATGCACTGTAATATGATGTTTTGCATACTTCATGTATTACTTAATTTTAAAGGTGCATCACATTTATTTGTGTTATATCATCCCTTTACCAAATACATGTACATTAGATATAACGACTTGGTCGCCGCCAAAACCAGCCTGGTAATGATACATAAGTGTCACAAAATTCCCGATAGCGCCATTTGACGTAACAAACACAGTTTATGCACAGGGGTTCGTCACAAATGTCTGAAATTCGCAATGTAGCCTATGTGAATTAAAGACATTTGTGACAAATCCCTGTATGCTGTGACCCGTAGCAGTGTAGCCTATGTGAATTACAGACATTTGTGACAAAGTCCTGTATACTGTGACCCGTAGCAGTGTAGCCTATGTGAGTTACAGGCATATGTAACGAACCCTTGTATGCTGTGACCTATAGCAGTGTAGCCTATGTGAACTACAGACACATGTAACGAACCTTTGTACAATGGTACAGATGCGTGTTAATTTTCCCCACTTTTCACTAAAGACCCATGCCGTCACAAAGTTGTGATGAATTATGTTTATATACTTAGTTTCAGATAGATAAAATACTACTGTTTTATTATATATCCAATATACCCCTGTTTGTAACAAAATCATACATAAATATATATATCGTCAATGAAAAAACAAAGAACGTTTCTGGTTTGTTGAGTTTGTTAGATGTCAGTTTAATGTATGATGTCGTTTAAACTGTAGCACAACTAGTCATTTGTTTTGAAACAAAGAAATATGTTTCCTTATCTTGATATTTGTTCCTGCATATGACACTTTTTGGCATATTTGCTCTCAATTGTTTGATTGAGACAAACAAATTATACTGATGCCTTTTGTAAATGCTAAACTATGTGTTTGTGGATATTTCAGAGATAAAAAAACTTAATCAAAATGACTATTCGTGATTTCCAACTTCAAACGTTCAGGAAATATTTTGCTATTGCAATATATTGATATAACTTGCAGGAAAGTACCCGGGGGAGGGAGCGGACCTTGCACACCCATGCCTTTCCCGACACCGATGCCCTTCCTGACAACGATGCCCCTCCCCACACCGATGCCCCTCCCCACACCCATGCCCTTCCCGACACCGATGCCCTTCCCCACACCCACGCCCGTCCCGACACCCATGCCCTTCCCGCCACCGATGCCCTTCCCGACACCCATGCCCTTCCCGACACCGATGCCCTTCCCGACACCGATTCCCTGTCCGAAACCGATGCCCTTCCCGAAACCGATGCCCTTCCCGACACCGATGCCCTTCCCGACACCCATGCCCTTCCCGACACCGATGCCCCTCCCGACACCCATGCCCCTCCCGACACCCATGTCCCTCCAGACACCGATGCCCCTACCTACATCCATGCCCCTCCCGACACCCATGCCCCTCCCGACACCCCTAATTAGAGAATCGTTACTTTAAAGTTAACACTTAAGTGTTTTGAATTGGACTCTAACTTTTAACCCTTGTTTGAACATGTGTTTATATAATGTTATGCAGTATATAATCATAAAAAACATTCAAAGTCCTTGTGATGGTTAAATATAATCAAAGTACTGAAAAGTCCGAAAGGCTAAACATATTACGCTGTCAATTTACATCATCTTTAAGCTTTAAGGACACCATCTATCTAAGTCTGATCATACAAGTCATTATCATAAAATATTGAAGTGGGAGATTTCAAATGAAATTTACAAACAATAGAAGAGCATTTTACAAACTTGATGGCACCCTTAGTTAATCTTAGCTCGGTTAAGACTTCTAATATAAAAAACAAGTTAACAAAAGAAAGTGCAACAAACAATATAGGTGATTCAGATATTTTATTTTTACATTTATGATTATATTATAAACCTCTGTCTTAATTCCCCCCCCCCCCTAAATATCACTTGGTATTGTGAATGTAGCTTTAGGTAACTGAATAGCATGCCATTGTGAAGACTTAAGATTTATATTGGTAAATAAAATATATTAAAGAATATGAAACATAAATACAAAATCTACACAAAAACAGGTTTTTAAATGTACTTAAACCACATATTGTAAAATAAATGAATTTGTTAGTTGAGTGATCTTTTATAATTTTCCTGAAAACATTGACCCTTATGAAAAATCTGC